AGAAAATCACACCCAGGAGTGAAGGCCTTGGAACCCAGGCCTGCTCCTGCCCCATCTCTGGCTCCTCATTCTCCCAGATGGGTCATAGAAACCTGAACCCCTTTTCCCCAAAGCCAACCACGAACCTAAAACTATGACTAACTTTTCCTCCACCTGTGTAAAATCTGGCCGTGAAGGAATTCTCTGGCCTGCCTTGTTTATAGGAGGTCAGATCCTTATTTCAGGGGGTCATGCCCCACCCAGCAGGAAGGAGAGCTGCAGAGAGAGGCCGCCAGGTGGGCCTCACTGGGCTCCTGCAGTCTGTTAGCCTGTTAGTCTGTCAGGTCTTACCCTTTCGTTCAATCCTATTTCAAGAACCACAGAATATAAGTATAAAAATGCAGTTTCCAGCCGGGCACAGTGGCTCATGCCTGTAGTCCCAGCACTTTGGGAGACCGAGGCAGGTGGATCATGATGTGAGGAGTTCAAGACCAGCCTGGCCAACATAGTGAAAACCCACCATTGCACTCCAACCTGGAGTATTTTTAGTAGAAACGGGGTTGCACCATGTTGGCCAGGCTGGTCTCGAACTCCCGACCTCAGGCAATCCACCCACCTCGGCCTCTGAAAGTGCTGGGATTACGGGTGAGCCACCGCGCCCAGCTGAAGAACACCATTTAATATTTTGTTTTCTTTTGAAATAGGTTCTTACTCTATCACCCAGGCTAGAGTGCAATGGCATGATCTTGGCTCACTGCAGCCTCTGCCTCCCAGGTTCAAGCAATTCTCCTGGCTTAGCCTCTCGAGTAGCTGGGATTACAGGTGCCCGCCACCACTCCTGGCTAATTTTTGTAATTTTAGTAGAGACAGCGTTTCACCATGTTGACCAGGATGGTCCCAAACTCCTGACCTCAGGTCATCCACCCGCCTCAGCCTCCCAAAGTGCTGGGATCATAGGCGTGAGCCACTGCACCTAGCCCAAAATTTTCTTTTTCTTTCTTTCTTTCTTTTTTTTTTTTTTTTGAGACGGAGTCTCCCTCTTGTTGCCCAGGCTGGAGTGCAATGGCGCGATCTCGGCTCACCGCAAACTGTGCCTCCCAGATTCAAGTGATTCTCTTGCCTCAGTCTTCTGAGTAGCTGGGATTACAGGTGCCTGCCACCACGCCCAGCTAATTTTTTGTATTTTTAGTAGAGACGGGTGTCAGTATGTTGGTCAGGCTAGTCTCAAACTCCTGACCTCAGGTGATCCACCTGCCTCGGACTCCCAAAGTCCTGGGATCACAGGCATGAGCCACCGCATCCAGCCGCAATATTTTCTTAAGTGAAGGTTAAGGTGATATTCTCACATTTTATTTTTCTAAAATGTCTTTATTCAACGTTCATTTTTGGGATATATTTGTTGCCGGATTTAGAGTTTTAAGTTACCAGCTACTTGCTTCTGAGGGTTGGTGTCTTCACTGCCTGTTGAAAGGCCCCTCTTTTGGTTGTGCACCCTGGAGACACCAGGTCTCTCCTCCCTCCCTTGGGCTCCTTTCAACATTTCCCCTTTGCCTTTGGTCTCAGCTGTTTCATCATGATGTTGCTTATGTTTTACCTTCCCTGTGTTTCTCCTAGTGGACTTCACAGCACTTTTTGATTCTGTGGCTTCATGTCTTTCATCACTTTTAGAAAACTATCAGCTACCACCCCATCAAATACCGTTTCTGCCCCTTCACCCTCTTATTTCCAGCTGGGAATCCAATTACACTGTTAGACCTTCTTACCATGTCTGTTCTGGAGTGTCCGTTATTTTTCTCTCCATGTTTCAGGGTGAATCTTTTTTTTACAACCTGTCGTCCATTTATTTAATTCTCTCTTTAGTTGGATTTTTTTTTTTTTTTTTTTTTCAGACAGGGTCTCACTCTGTCACCCAGGCTGGAGTGCAGTGGTGTGATCTCTGCTTACTGCAACCTCCACCTTCTGGGTTCAACCAATTCTCCTGCCTCAGCCTCCTGTGTAGCTGGGACTATAGGCACCCGCCACCACACCTGGCTAATTTTTGTATTTTTGGTAGAGACAGGGTTTTACCATGTTGGCTAGGCTGGTCTCAAACTCCTGACCTCAGGTGATCACCCACCTTAACTTCCCAAAGTGCTGGGATTACAGGCCTGAGCCACCTCTCCCAGCCTAGCCAGATTTAACGTGCTGTTAAACCAATATGTTATGTTACCAGCTTTATTGAGATATGATTTACATAGAACAAAATGGGCCAGGGGCAGTGGCTCATGCCTGTAATCCCAGCATTTGGGAAGCCCGAGGTGGGCAGATCATGAAGTCAACAGATTGAGACCATCCTGGCCAACATGGTGAAGCCCCATCTCTACTAAAAATAGAAAAATTAGCTGGGCATGGTGGTGCAAGCCTGTAGTCCCAGCTACTTGGGAGGCTGAGGCAGGAGAATTGCTTGAATCTGGGAGGTGGAGGTGCAGTGAGCTGAGATCGCACCACTGCCCTCCAGCCTGGGTGACAGAGGGAGACTGACACACTCTCACTCTCTCTCCCCCCACCTTTCTCTCTCTATATATATATAATAAAGCAAGATCAAGTGTATCATTTGATAAATTTTGAGTATGTTTCATGAGATTTTAATCCTTTCTTCAATGTTTTCATTTTGAAAAATTTCAAACTCACAGAAAAGTCACAATACCAGTGCATAGTTTCCACCCAGGTCCACCGATGGTTAACATTTGCTACCTTTGCTTTAATCTCACTGTCTCTGTTTGTAATCTAAATGATTGGTTTTGCTTTAATTTCCAGAGCCATTTTGGGTACAGACCTAATGACTCTTCACCTCTAAATACTTCAGCATGGATCACAAATGAACAAAAAAATCTCCATTCACAACTGTGATGCAATCATTGAGTCATTTAATAATTCTGGAGTTTATCACTGGCAGAATTTTATTACACAGTATACAAGACATATTTCAAATTGTGAATGTCCTCATTGTGCACGTTATAATCCTTTTTTCCTGACCCAGGATCCATTCCAGCACTGTGCAGTGAGGATTTCTGTCTGTTTTCATTTTGCTTGTTTTACCTTCCTCCAGGGAAGGTTTACTTTTCTTCCGGCAGGTGCCCAGGTGAGCGGCTCACCTTACTTCTCTCAGGGCTTGAGGTGATTTAAGGAGGGCTTTGGTCCCTGCAAAGACAATTCTGTTTTTGCTTCACCTTTGCTTTTAGGGGATAGCCCTTTGGGGTCCCAAGGAAAGCCCAAAGTCTCTACCCGGCCTCCCTGCCTGAGCTCTGGGCCCTGCAGAGCCTTGAGGCCCCGCAGCTCCAGTGCCCCGGACGGTTCGGTTCTGTGCGGCGCTCCCGGGCTCTGATGGCTGCCCTCAGGAGGCAGCTGCTCTGAAACAATTCAGCCTCCGTTGCTGCGTCCTGCGCTGCAGTGTGGGGCTTTCTTACTGTGTTTTCAGACCTCTGACGCTTTGAGGAATTGTTTTTAAAGCGGTTTATCTACCATCTTCGTTGTTTTCACTGGGGTGTTGGACTGAGCATCTTACCCGCTGTTCCTGGAGACAGTTCTGTGCTAGCACGTTCTTCTCCCTTTCCCTCCCTTTCTTACCTTTCAGTTTTTCATTGAATTTTGTCCGTGTGTGTGTGTGTGTGTATGTGTGTGTGTGTATGTGTGTGTGTGTGTGTGTATGTTTTTCCTCCCTGCTAATTTGGAATATATACACACCATTTCTCCCTCAAATGGCTAATCATGACACTTCACCTTGCAATTTTAACATCAGAAGAACTAGTGTTAAGCAAATATTTTAATCCCTCTCCCCAGAATAAAAAGACCCAGAACGCTGTCGCTCTAATAATCTGCTTCCCAACCTACAGGGGATTATTGTCCAGTATTTTCTTTTTGTTAATAGACTGTTCTTTTTCTTTTTTTTTTTCTGTTTTAGAGATGGGGTCTCCATTTGTCAACCAGGCTGGAATGCAGTGGTGTGATCACAGCTCCTCTCAGCCTTGAACTCCGCAGGCTCAAGCAATCTCCCACCTCAATTTTGTGAGTAGCTGGGACTCACAGGCATATGATATCACATCTGGCTAATTTTTAAAAATGTATCTTTTTTGTACAGATGGGGTCTTGGTACGTTGCCCAGGCTGATCTCAGACTCAAGGCCTCAAATGATCCTCCAGTGTTGGCCTGCAATCCCGAAGTGCTGGAGTGCAGGTGTGAGCCACTGCGCCCAGCCTGTTCTTTCCATTGTTATTATTTTCATACAATGTTTGCTTGGATTCACACATGCAGGCTGGACAGTTGTCCTGTGGTATCCTCAGGGTATTGGTTCCAGGACCCTCAGAGATACCAAAATTTGCAGGTGCCCAAGTACCTGATATAAAATGGTGTAGTATTTGCACATTACCTACCCACATCCTACTGTGTACTTTAAATCAATTACTTATAATCCCTAATACAATGTAAATGCTCTGTACATAGCTGTTATACTGTATTATTTTAAAATTTGTATTTTTTGTATTGCTTTGGCTTAAAAAAAATATTTTCAGTCTGCTTGGTTGAATCCAAGGATGTGAAGCTAAGTGTGAGGGCCCAGTGTGCTCTTCTGGGATAATTCTCCTGCTTGCTAAAGCGCACGCTTTTCTCGGGAGGCTGGGGCCAGAGGATCAATGGAGCCCTGGAGGTGGAGGTTGCAGTGAGCTGAGATGGCGCCACTGCACTCCAGCCTGGGCGACAGAGCAAGAGTCTGTCTCAAAAAAGAACGGAGAAAAACAAGACAATCATGGCTCAACTCATATAGCACCAACGGGCCAAGCTTTCTGCTGAGCGCCTTCGTCAGAGCAACCCCTGAGGCCTGCCAGGAAGCGGCGCCCCAACCCTCACGGAGCCGCTGGGCTACCCGGCCCCGCCCACCCGTTCGCCCCGCCCACCCGTTCGCCCCGCCCACCCGGCGCTCGCCCCGCCCACCAAGGCCCCGCGCCTTCCCGCCCGCAGCGGCAGTCACGTGGGGGGCGCGCCCAGACTCCGACCCGGAGGCGGAACCGGCGGTGCGGCCCGAAGCTCCGCAGTCCCCGAGCGCGCCCGGCCATGCGCCCCCCGCGCCCCCGCGCTGCGCTGCTCGCGCTCCTGGCCGCGCTCCTGGCCGCGCCCCCGGTGGCCCTGGCCGAGGCCCCGCACCTGGTGCGGGTGGACGCGGCCCGCGCGCTGTGGCCCCTGCGGCGCTTCTGGAGGAGCACGGGCTTCTGGTGAGCGCCTCGCGCGCCCGCCCGCGGCCTCCGGGACCCCCTGGCCGCACGGGGAGAGCTCGGGCGCCCCCTAACTGGGAGCTTCCGAGACTGGAGCTCCCTCCTCTGGGGCCCTGGCTCTCCCGGCCCGCTCCGCGCCGTGTTTGGGGGTGGGCTCTCCAGCTGAGTGGGCGCCGGCCCGCGGGCCTGGGGCTGGACCCTGAGCTTGCCCAGCAGCCGCTCCCTGTAACCCAGGCCGATGCCCATGATCCTGCTCTTTGAGGTGGTCCAGGAGTCTCCCCATGGGGTGGGACGCCCCTGTAGCGGGATCTGGCCCGCCTGTCCCTTTCCCTCCACGGAGACTCGAGGTGCCCGCCTGCCTGGCAGGGCCGGGGCCAGGGCTGGTTTTGGCTCCTCCGTCTTAGTGCTGCTCCTGTTCCCCATGAAGATGGGACCTCCCTACATTCCTGGCCCTAAGGGCCATTTTATTAGTCACTGAGCACAAGCGCAGCACCTGGATCTGGCGCCCAGGCATCCCTGGGCTTGAGCCTGAGTGTCGGCTGTGCTGCCGGCCATGCTGAGGCTCAGGCCTGAGCCGCCCCTTTGCTGTCCCCAGCCCTCCACTGCCACACAGCCAGGCTGACCAGTACGTCCTCAGCTGGGACCAGCAGCTCAACCTCGCTTATGTGGGCGCCGTCCCTCACCGTGGCATCGAGCAGGTCCGGACCCACTGGCTGCTGGAGCTTGTCACCACCAGGTGGGTGACTTGGGGCCTGGGTGTCCCAGAACCCCTTACAGAGGCACAGAGGGGACGGGCTGGGGAAGGGGCAACTGAGGAGGCGCAGAGCTGGGGGCTGCTCGGAAGATCCTTTGTTCCCCCTTTCTGCCGACGCACCCTGTTGAGGGGATCGTGTCCTTGCTGGGGCGAGGGCTGTGTGCTGGAGGGTGCCCCTGCGTGGGGCGTGGTGGGCTTCCTCCAGGGCCCCCTGGAGGCTCAGGGTTGGCTGTGCTGCACCTGTCTCCACTGCACCCATGGGCACCCCTGTGTGTGTTTGCTAGCTGGGCTGGGCAGGCCACCACACCTGAGGGCTGAGCTGAGGTCATCACAGCACTTGTGGCCTTGACACTGGTGCAGGTGGCCACCCTGTGAGGGGGAGACACGAGGTGTGAGGGCCACTTGGGTGTGTGGGTTTTTCTAGGAACACACAGACCCTCATGCACTTGGCCAGAACCACCGGCTCCTACCAACAGGGGTGAGCACCAGGCAGGCCTGGACATAGGGGGTCCTCTTGGCACTTGGAGGCTGCATGATGTCGGGGGGGGAGGTGGCCCTTGTTCAATTAAAATGTCAACCCTGAGCATCAGGCCAGGCCCAGCCCTTCTGAGGCGAGGGACAGCGAGGGCCTTGAGCATCGGGCCCGGCCAGCACTGTGGGCCAGCCTGTCTTTCAGGGGCAGAGGTTCTTGATTTCTGAGTGTTTGGGTCCTTTGTGATCAGAAGGCCTCCTTCCCCAGCTGGGGTTCCTCGGTTTCCCCTGGGCAGCGGTGGGCAGGAATGCATGTAATCAGAGGGCCTCCTTCCCCAGCTGGGGTTCCCTGGCTTCCCCTGGGCAGCGATGGGCAGGAATGCATGTAATCAGAGGGCCTCCTTCCCCAGCTGGGGTTCCCTGGCTTCCCCTGGGCAGTGGTGGGCAGGAATGCATGTAATCAGAGGGCCTCCTTCCCCAGCTGGGGTTCCCTGGCTTCCCCCAGGCAGCGGTAGTGCAGGAGCGCGTCCCTTGGGTGTCTCCTCCCTGGGAAGAGTCTAAGCAGTGGCTTGCAGACGTCCGCCATGGGCCCCCTGGAGGGAGCAGAGGCTGCCGGGAAGGCCTGGTCCTGCTACAGGCGGGCATCGGTGGCCTCCAGCTCCCTGTGGCGGGCTCCTGCCGTCTGCACGGCATCGTGCACACTGAGGAACAGCTGCTCCTCCTCAGCTGTGCCCCCTGGGCCCTCCTCAAGGAAGCCCCCTCTGCTCAGAATGTCTCTCACAGGGGGGCTGCAGCAGGCCAGCAGCAGGCTGATGCCCAGGGCCCCGTAGTCTCGGCGCAGGTCCTTGAGCGTGGTCACGCCAGCTGCGTCCAGGAACAGCAGTGGGGCGCAGTCGATGACCACTGTGTGGAAGCCGGCTGCCATGGGCACCAGTGCAGCCCTGCTGCTAACCGGGCCCAGGTCCTTGCCCTGGGCGGGGCCTCCCTCGCCGACCCCCACCTCCGAGCCCTGCTCCTTCCTCCTGGCAGCCGCGCGCCCTGCGTCCAGCCCTGTGAGGCTGTAGAGTGACCGCAGGAAGAAGTCCTTGTTGGCGTAGTACAGCGGCCCCGCGAAGCGGAACACGCGCACCCCGGGCTCAGGGACGAGGCCCTCGAACTCTGTGGCGTCCTCGTAGAAGGCTGAGTCCCCGATGCGGGCCAGCAGGGCAGCGTGAGGGCGCTGGGTGCGGCCGGCCAGGCTGAGCAGTGAGAGGATGACGCCGGCCAGCAGTCCGGTCTCCGTGCTGACCAGAACACAGGTGGCCGCAGTGCCCGCCCAGACTAGGGCGTCGGCCGGGCTCATCCGCCACAGCCGTGGGAGGTCCCACACCTTGCGCAGGGCCCCCCGCAGGCTCACCACGATGATGCAGGCCAGCACACTTCGCTGTAGGTCGTGGAACAGCGGCGCCAGTGCCAGCAGCACCAGCAGCACCACGGCAGAGCTGACCACACCGGACAGCTGCGTCCGGCAGCCAGTGGCTGTCTTCACCAGGCTCTTGGCCAGGGCTGCGCTGGTGGCGAAGCAGTGCAGGAAGGCAGGCAGCACGTTGCAGCAGCCCACAGCCAGCAGCTCCTGGTTGGCACGCACAGAGTAGCCGTGGCTGCGACCGAACATCTCTGCCAGCGAGATGGAGAAGGCCGCGCCCACGAGGGCCAGGGCCATGGCATCCAAGGCCACACGCTGCATCAGTCTGGGCTCTGGGACCTGAGGGGCCATGAAACCAGTGGGGATGTCACCAGCCACACTTGAGCCAAAGCGCTTGTGGAGCTGCCCGAAGTGGGACACGAGCGTGGCCACCACGATGACCAGCAGTTCTGTGGGCAGTGGCACCCTCAGGTGCCGTCGGTAGCGGTCTGAGAGCTCCTTTGCAGCCAGTAGCACCACCAGGCACACCGTGCTGGTAACCACGTCGCACACATTGGCCTGCCCGGCGCTGCGCAGCAGGCTCAGCCACGTTCGGACCACCATGCCCAGCCCCTGGTGCCGAGGGATCCGCACTCCCAGCAGGTGCTTGAGCTGCGAGGTCAGGATGGTCACTGAGGCCCCCATGGCAAAGCCGTCCAGCAGTGGCTGCGAGAGGTAGGTGGACACGAAGCCCAGCCGCAGCACGCCCATGAGGACCTGTGGATGGAGGGCAGCCAGGTCAGCAGGCGCCCAGCAGGAGCCACGTGCCAGTCACCAGCCCCTGGCATGGCCCGAGGGGTGGTGGTCATGGCACAGAGCCTGACAATTCTGTTTTTCCGAATCAGACTCCTCACACGGGCCTGTGTTCTTGACTCCATGTGTGCACATGCCTGCAGACACTTGTGGTGGCCGCAGACACATCTAACTTCTCACACGTAGAAGCCCATTTTATTTCAGAAATAAGACCTCTGGGCATCAGAAGGCAGCCCCTTCCTCCTGCTTCCTACACACGGCACCCACTACCCCCCATGCAGATGTGGAACCAGTGGGGACCAAGGCCAGGGCAGGAGACGGTTGGGGCCGGGGAGGCCATTCCCCATTCCACCTCGGACAGAAGGCCTGGGAGGCCACATGGCCTCAGTCCAGCACCACTGAGCCCAGCCACCTATGGCCCGCTGGTACCCACTGAGGCCATAGCCCACCAGACCAACTCCTCGTGCCCCTCTTCTCTGGTTCCCGCAGCCCCTCCACGTCAGTGCCTCGCCCTGGGATGCCCCAGCTCTGCCAGAGCCTTGGCCTCGTGGGTGGCCAGCACCTAAGGAGGTGCCCTGGGCCCCTCCCTGTGCCTAAGCTGAGCTCCTCACCTGGTAAAGCCCGGTCATCAGTGTGAGCGCGGTGGCAACACGGATGGCGTAGCAGTCACGCCCACAGTCGAGCGTGGCAGCAGAGCCATTGAGGATGCTGCCGTTGGCCCCGGGCCACAGGCCATCCTGGGAGGGGTCGAAGCCGGCCAGCTGGAGCTCCCGGTCCACCACCTGGCCCACCATGAGGCAGAGCAGGCTGAAGATGCCCACGGAGACGTGCTGCGATGTGCCCATGAGGAAGTAGATGAGGTTGGCAAAGAAGGACGTGTACAGGCTGTAGATGGGCTGCAGTCCAGCCAGCAGTGAGTAGGCAATGCCCTGTGGCACCAGGATGATGCCGATGACCAGCCCGGACATGACGTCACCCGCCAGGTACTCCCGAGGGCGGTACTGGCACAGCCAGCGCGTGGCGGGGAGCAGGTCCTGCACCAGTGCCCAGGCACACGGCACGCTGCACGAGCAGCTCCGCCACAGCCGGGCCTTCAGCATCTCACGCAAACCCTGGGGTGCCGGGCGCTGCCGCCGAACTGGCACCGGCCCTCTGCCCTGCTGCAGAAGCTCAGGGGACTCGCCCATGCTGCAGCACCTGCCCCTGTGGCCAACCTGCAGCTGAGAAGAGCGTACAGTCACGGGAGCCCCAGATCCAGTGCCAAACGACAAGGTCCCGGGCAGTGGCGGGGCCCTTGGGGCGGACCGCTTGCCCACCTGGGGCCCGGGACTGGCACTGAGCCTTCTCCTGGCACCACGGGCCCCAGCCCCCCTGCCCAGTGTGGATGGATGCCAGGCCCTGCTGGCTCCAGAATGTATCATGGGGTGAGATGGGATGAGGACACCAAGCCTGTGCCCTGGGCTGTGCTGAGGCCAGTGGTGCTGCAGGACGGCCTGGCCTGACCCTGTCCCGGCTCAGCTCCAGCCCACTGGCTCTGCAGTTCCTGCCTGAAACCTCCCTGAAGCCTCCTGAAGCCCACCTCCCAACGGGGAGGGAACAGGCAGGGCTGCTACCACACATATACATGCCTTGGGTCCCTGGACACAGGTGCAGGCAAGCCTGAGTTTGGTGGCGCTGTGACCACCTCCCTGGCTCCCCAGTTGGCGAAGGGTCCCGCTGTCCACCCAATGCCCACACCAGAGCCCTCCCTCCCCCATCCAAACCATCGCCTGCTCTCCTGGAGACACTCCGTCACCTGCCCTGTGAAGGCTCAGCGGAAGAGGCCTCCTATGTCCCTGCCAAGCTTTGTGGGTGCTGGGACCCCAAGTCTGCCTGGGGAGCAGCACTCAGGAGCCAGCCCAGCCCCCACGCCTGGCCTTGGGGCAGAATTCTGAGAATATGCCTAGACAGTGGCCCCAGCTGGGAGGGGAGGAGGGTGACTGGCGTCCATCTCCCCTGCCCAGGGAGTTCTGGGATGTGAGGCGTCTCCCTGTCTCCCCAACTCACTGTGGAACAGGCATGACACATTGTCCCGGGGGCAGCACCCAGAGAGGACCCAGTCCTCTGTACACAGCCACCCTGGGCCAGCAGAGCCAAAGGGCACCTTCTGACCTTTCCTTTGCCCTCGGAGAGCAATGTGGCGTTAGGGAGGCAGTGCTCAGAGGCCACACTAGTCCTGTGTGAGGCCTTCGGTCTGTCCTATTTGCAGGCTGCAACGTACTTTCATTTTAAAAGTTCTCCGCGACGTCAGGCAAAGAAGACTTTGCTGCCTGAGAGCTTGGGGCCTGGGCTGAGGCTGCTGTTTGCATGCTGGCCCAGGGCATGGGAGCTGTAGTCTCCCGGGGGGTGGGCCCAGCCTGGTAGGTCGGCGTGGCAGGCTGGGCACAGCACCACCCCTGGGGCTCAGAGTGGGGGTCCTGGCCCTCAGGCAACATTGCAAGAGTTGTGTCCCCTTCCTTCGAAGACCCCACCACACTGGGTCCCTGGATGCTCCAGGTGTGTGGACTGGAGACAGAAGGGCCAGCTGCCCGGAGCCTGAGGGTGCTCCTAAGAAACCACCAGTCCAGGGCGTTTCTGGCCTTGGCTCCCACGCCCTGCTCTGCTGCGGCTGAGATTTGGGCCCAGGATAATTCTTACCTGAGGGAGTCCTCACAGGCACGGGGGCCCTGGGATGACGAGGAGCTGGCGAGACCACCAAGGACCGCAGGGCCCTCTAGCTCCCTCGAGCAGCTGGGAGAGTGGGGGTGGTGGCTCTGGCGCCGACCTGCAGGCCGTGTTGTGTGCACTGGGCTCTGCAGTTAAATTATTTACCTAGAGATTGCTGAGTCACGGGTTTCGCCAGCCATGTTACCTGATCAGCTAATCTGGGGGTTGAACTGTAATCGGGCTGGTTGTGGTTAGAGCTGTGTGGGACTCTGATCAGTTTCCAGCCTCCCAGTAGCCCTCGAACCCAAGAGGGGATGGGGCGGGGGGGTGTCCGTGTCCAGTCGCTGGATAGCCTCCTGGTCCACGCTGGAGCAGGGTGGAGGCTGACAGCCAGCTCAGCAGAAGGCTGCGGGTGTGTGCATGTGCATGTGTGCTCGCATGAGCTCTGTGTGGTGCACAGCACCCAGGGTGAGGGCCCCCAGGCATCAAGATGCCATGACTGGCTGGGGCAGGAGTCCTGGTCTGCCCAGACCCAGTGCCAACCCGAAGGGCCTGGTCAGCCTCTACCCTCACGGCTCCTCTGCCCTCCCCTCTGCCACAGGCTGAGACCAACAGCGCCTGCCTACAGGGCTGGTGTGAGGATAAATGATCTCTTAAAGTGAACTCAACTAGTGCCCACACATGAAAATAAGGGTGAGCTGCTTTTTAAAAGGAATTATTGACCAGGCATGGTGGTTCACTCCTGTAATCCCAACACTCTGGGAGGCCTAGACAGGAGGATCACTTAAGGCCAGGAGTTCAAGACCAGCCTAGTCAACACAGTGAGGCCCCCCCCACCCAACCTTTACAAAAATTAAAATTAAAAACTTAGCTGGGTGTGGTGGTGTGCACCTGTATCCCATCTACTGGATTGGCTGAGGCGGGAACATGGCTTGAGCCTGGGAGTTTGAGGCTGCCATGTGGTGTGATTGTGCCACCGTACCCTATTCTAGGCCACAGAGCAAGAGCCTGTCTCAGGAACAAACACATTTTCACTGGGCCAGCTCTTTGGGAAGCTAAGGGAGGAGGATGGCTTGAGCCTAGGACGTCCAGGCTGCAGTGAGGCATGACTGCCACTGCACTCCAGCCTGGGTGACAGAGCAAGGTTGTGTCTCTTACAAAAAAAATTCCTTAGGAGCCTCAGATCCCTCCCCGCTTTGACAGTGAGTGCTGGGTGAGACCCTGCATTGGCACAGGCCGGTGGGCGTGATTAACAAGGGGCTGCAGCCTCCATGCTCTCCCATCCCGAGGGAAGCCAGGAGGCCGCAGTGAGTCCCTCGGGTGAGGCTGGAAGGCCAGGTGGACCCTGGCACCTTGGGTAGCCTGATTCGGGCCTGGGAACAGAAACCACAACCTCTGTTTCCCTGTCCACGTGGGATTCATGCTGAGGGTCTTGCCGAACCAGCTGATTGCTGGGGCTCCATTCCCCCAGGATGGTGACACCGAGATGTTGATGGGGCAGAGCCCTGGAGGGGACCCTGGACACACAGCCCCACCGAAAGTACCTTCAGGGAAGCCGCCTGCCCAGCCCTGCTAGTTCCCCACAGCCCTGGGTCCTGTAGCCCCCCCATTTGAAGATGAAATGGGAGTGGAATGTAGTTGGGGTGGCCAGAAAGTGGGAGGACACCCTGAGCATGAGATGTGGGCAGGGCTGGACAGTCCAGGGTCTAGTACTCCCATAGCCTCCACCTGGGATGGAGCCCTTGCTCCCACCCCAGCCTAGCCAGGGCACCAGTGGCCCCTGGGAAGCAGCTGTTTACCCAGCGGTTGGGAGCTATGGTGTAAGAAGCGGTTGGCCAGTGGGTGGGGTCACTCAGGGCCTCAGGACCCTCCCTGGAGCAGATGAGGGCCTCTCTGGGTTCAGCCACCAGCAGGGTTTTTGGAGAACCCTTAGAGGTCTCTCTAAAGGAGGCTGGGAGGACTCTGGGTGCTGCAGCAGGGGTGGGGTGCCTGGTGCAGACACCTGCAAGCAGGGTAGGGTGGGGGTGTGTCACCTGGGGCCACAGAAAAACCTCGAGTGGGAGGCGGCTCTTCTCCCATCAGGAAGGGTGGCGGGGATTTCCAGAGGTTGGTTTAGCAGGACCCATGGTGGGGTTTGAGACAGGTACAGCACCCAGGCCCGTGAGCCGCTCAGCCACACTGCAGGGGCCTGGCCTCAGGGGTCTTCTGCAGGCATTGGGCCTTGCACCCTTTTAGTCTCCACCTAGGTTGGGTGTCTAAAGCAGGTGAGGTCATCCCTGTAGGATCCTTGGAGCCTGATCTGCCCCCTTCCCACTTGTCTCTGCCTCAGTTTCTCTGCCTGAGCATTAAGACAGTGGCTGGTACTGCCCTGTGGCCAAGCTCAAAGGCTGAGTGCCCAGGAGTCCAGGGGCCTTGCTGGCCAGCGAGAGTGGGCACCAGGCTGCAGATAACGCCTTCCTTCCCTGCTTTGCGATGCAGGCCAGGGGGCATGGGGGCCCAGCGCCTCGGACCTGCCTGAACCACCCTCCTGCGGGAACTCCTGGCCAGTCCTGTGCCACATGCCTACTTCCTCCTTCATTTTGTCTCTAAATCAACCGTTTTACATGGGAGTACACTGACTGGGAACGGAAGGATTGTATTATTGCCTCCGCCTCAGAAAGAAGCCCGGCCACAGAGCTTTGGAACCAGTTACCCTCCAGTGGGTGGGTGTGCTCCGGGGTCTGGAGGAGAAGACCGGGGCCCTGGCCTGCACCCTCTAGCACCTGCATCCCCTTCGTCCTGGTCACAGCTGCAGGTTCTCCCAAGAGGCGGGTCTGTGCCCGCCCCGTGCTGTGCCCGCGCCGTGCTGTGCCCGGGCACCAGCCAGCCCGGCCTCCGCCCCTACCCCACACTCCCATCGCCAGCCTGAGGAGCGCGCCGTCCGCCCCCATCCCACGCGGTCTCCCCCCACCGCCTGCGAACCCCCATGCACGCGCGGCCCTGCCCCGCGCCCCCACCGCCGAGCACGCGCGCCCCGGATCCTGCGCCCCGCGCACTCACCAGGCCCGGCAGCCGCACGGTCCTCGCGGCGCACGCGCTCGGGCCCAGGGGCGGGGACGCGGGGACCCGGGCGGCCGACCTGCCGCCGCCGCGCGGTGAATGAGCCCATTGTGCGGCAGCCGCGGCCCCACTGGCGCCCCGCGCTGGGTCTGGCAGGGCCAAGGCGCCCCTGCGGCTTCCGCTCCCAGGCTGGGCGGTGGCCTGTCTGCGCCTCCGGCCCTGGTGGGGGTCTCCACCTCGCCGGCTCAGCTCCTCTCCAGCGAGGTCTCCCAAGGCCGCTCTCAATGGGACTGTCCCCGGGATCCTTGGCCTGGTGTCGCCCCCGTGGCGGGGATCCCGGTCCCAGGCATCCCTCACTGAGAGATTGGCCCGGCCAGATGACACTCCGGGGCACCTTGGGTGTCAGACTAGGGACATCTCTGATGCTGCCCGCTCCGCTCAGCGCCTGCCCCAGTGTCAGGGGCCGCTGGGCCAGCGCCTTGGGGGTTGCAGAGAAAGCCTGAAGCCCAGCGGGGCCTTCACTTCCTGCTGGTCACCATGGCCCACTACCCCAACCCCGTGGGACTCTGGAATGTACCTCCTGCGCATTTGATTTTTGTCCAGGTGTTTCTGAAGTTTTATTTCTTTGCTACCAGTATGTATTTTGGATGGAGAGGAGGAGAGGTGGTAGGGGCCGGGTGGGGTGGACCCCGGGGACACATGCTGGGCACCCAGCCCTGGGTACAGAAGCAGGTGGGGGCAGCAGAGGCAGGGCTGGGTGAAGCAGGACCCCGCACCTGAGGGCTGCAGGCCCAGGCCCAGGCTCTGTCTTGATCTTGTACACCATGGGAGGACCCAAAGGGAGGCATTGAGGTGTCTAGACCTTTGCTGTGAGGTGGTGGGGCTGTGGCCTGGGTAGACTGACAGGGAGCTGTATAGGGCTGATTCTGGTCCGTGGTGGTAACCCTGTTCCCCACCACTGCAGATGAGGGACAAACCCAGCTGCCACGGGAGAGGCACAGCCCACAGCAGCTGTGCTCACCTTCTATGTGGCGTCCGCAGGAAGCCCTCAGACCCTGGCCAGCCTGGTCTCTACTTCTCACTCCAGGTTCAGGGTTGGCGGCTATTCCATTCATCCCACTCCCCTTCCCTCAGGCCAGAATATCGTCCACAGCCCCAGGCCCCTGCGCACCAGCCTCCTCATCCAGTTCACCCTCAGATGTCCAACTCTACATGGCTAGAACCAAGGCCATTCTCACTCCAAGCTCATTCACCTGCCCAGCTGCCCAAGCTGAAATCCACAGTTGCCCTGGACCCCACCCCCACCCCCAACCCAGCTCACCTCAAACCTCATCAGTCCATCTGCTGCTTCTGCACAGCCAACAGCCAGTCTGGGCACCATACCTCTCCAGGTGACCACCACAGCCAGTCTTCCAGCCCCTACCCTGGCTCCAGTGAGCCACCAGAGGGATCCTTTAAAAATGTCCTGGCACTGCTGGGCTCAGAACCCTGAAAGGGGTCCCTGTTTCCCTCTGGGTCAGAGTCCCATCCTCAAGGTGGTCACTTCCAGAGCCCCATGGAGCCTCATCTCCTGTGATATCCACCCTCATTCTGTCCCAGGCCCACCAGCTGCCTCTCTGCTGCCTATCACATGCACACTCCTGTCCCAGAGCCTTGCCCTGGTGATGCCATCTGCTGCCTGGGTGTCCTCATGCTAGCCTGTCCCACTGCGTGGCAGCCTTTCAGAGAGATGCCTCACTGATCGTCAGGACTGCCACTCCCTGCTGTATCCCCTTCACCAAAGATTCCCATTCCCTGAGGATGCCTGTCCCCTCGAATGCAAGCCCTGAGGGAATTCAGCCCCATCTGCAAGTGGAGCGTAGCAGGGTGGCCCCTTCTCCCTTTCCTGCACATCCATATTGCCTCATGGGGTGTGGGAGAGGAAATGGGGCCCTCCTGGGCCTCTAGGAGGTACAGAGAAACAGGGTGGGGACCCACCAGGTCCTGCCTGGCTCCTGAACCCTGGCCCCTGCCCCTTGGTACCTGCCTGCCTCATCCCACCAAGCATCAGGGCCATTCTGAGCCCCCACCCCAAGTCTTCCATCTCTTGATGGTATAGGGCTGGGGGGTTCTCCATGTACAGACACGCTAGTTCACACTGGGCTTTCATAGGGTTATTTTCCAAGGGGAGGACCCCTCGGGAAGCCAGCATCCAAGTCCTGTGTGGCACATTGCAGGCTCCCACCTGCTCTGCTGTGGCCACAGTTCCAGCCTGGGGCACGTAGCCATGTGGACACCCTTCTTCCTGACGCTGACCGTCCTTCCACAGGGGCTCTACTGGATCAGGCCTGAGCTACAACTTCACCCACCTGGACGGGTACCTGGATCTTCTTAGGGAGAACCAGCTCCTCCCAGGTGAACTGTGGGCTCTGCTCTCCCAGGCCTCCTGCACCCCCTCGCCCTGCCCACCCTCTCCCCCACGCATCCCCTCCCAGTCCTGGCTGGAGCCCACCCAGGACTGGCCCTGGTGCTGGAGCACAGGCCTGGCAGAGCATGGGTGTTTTGTGCGACGGGCACTGGGACAGCCCTCCTGTGTTGCAGGGTTTGAGCTGATGGGCAGCCCCTCCGGCCACTTCACCGACTTTGAGGACAAGCAGCAGGTGTTTGAGTGGAAGGACTTGGTCTCCAGCCTCGCCAGGAGATACATCGGTGGGCGGGCGCAGGCCCTGGGGCCCCAGACGGGGGAGGATACTCCTGGGCACGCTGCACCCTGATCACCCAGACTGCCCCAGGGGTCTGAAACCCCTTTGAGCCAGGACTTCCTGATGGGGGGCGGAGGCTGGCCTGGGTGGGGGCGGGGTTCATCTTGAGCCAGACGCCCTTCATCACCTTGCATTCTCCCTCCCTGGGAGTCACGGAGGCGAGGTTCACCTGTGCTGGGGGGACAGCAGGGGTCCTCTGTAGGTAGGTACGGACTGGCGCATGTTTCCAAGTGGAACTTCGAGACGTGGAACGAGCCAGACCACCACGACTTTGACAACGTCTCCATGACCATGCAAGGTGTGTGTGGCTTCCTGGGGTCCTGCCCAGCTGAAAGGGGCAGAGGAGGACAGGAGCGGAGGCTAAGCCCTGGTCCCCAGGGCAGGCGTGGATGCAGCGCTTCTCCCCGACCCCAGGCTTCCTGAACTACTACGATGCTTGCTCCGAGGGTCTGCGCACTGCCAGCCCTGCCCTGCGGCTGGGCGGCCCCGGGGACTCCTTCCACCCCCCACCGCGATCCCCGCTGAGCTGGGGCCTCCTGCGCCACTGCCACAACGGCACCAACTTCTTCACTGGAGAGGCGGGCGTGCGGCTGGACTATATCTCCCTCCACCGAAAGGTATGCCCTGCCCCTCCGCCCGCCCTGGAGTCCTTCGCCCTCAGCTGGGGTGCCATGTTGACCTGGTGGTGCTGAGACAGCCCTGCCCGCAGGGTGCACGCAGCTCCATCTCCATCCTGGAGCAAGAGAAGGCCGTGGCGCAGCAGATCCGGCAGTTCTTCCCCAAGTTCGCGGACACCCCCATTTACAATGACGAGGCTGACCCGCTGGTGGGCTGGTCCCTGCCGCAGCAGTGGAGGGCCGACGTAACCTACGCGGCTATGGTGGTGAAGGTGGGCAGGCCCAACGCCCTGCGCGCCCCCCAGCCACCTTCCTCCCGGGACGAGATAGGGGAGTGGTGGCCGCGCCACGCGATCCCAGCCGCCCTGGACACCCGCAGGTCATTGCCCAGCACCAGAACCTGCTGCTGGCCAACACCAGCTCCGCCATCCCCTACGCGCTCCTGAGCAACGACAACGCCTTCCTGAGTTACCACCCGCACCCCTTCGCGCAGCGCACCCTCACCGCGCGCTTCCAGGTCAACAACACCCGCCCGCCGCACGTGCAGCTGCTGCGGAAGCCGGTGCTCACCGCCCTGGGGCTGCTGGCGCTGCTGGGTGAGTCCGGCCGGGCCTGCAGGCTGGGGTGCAAAGGCCCGGCTGCGGGGAGCGCACTTCTCCAGCCGCGCGCTTCCCGGGGTCGGCCGCCCGGAGGAGTGGGGAGGCGGGGCCTGGGGACTCCTTCCCCCAGGGAAGGGGGAGCGAGTGGAGGGAGGGGAGTGGGGGGGAAGGGGGCGGGGCAGCGACCCCACGCGGGAACGGCGCCCCCACCCCGCAGACGAAGAGCAGCTCTGGGCCGAGGTGTCGCGGGCCGGGAAGGTTCTGGACAGCAACCACACGGTGGGGGTCCTGGCCAGCGCCCACCGCCCGGAGGGCCCGGCCGACGCCTGGCGCGCCGCGGTGCTGATCTACGCGAGCGACGACACCCGCGCCCACGCCAACCGCAGCGTCCCAGTGACCCTGTGGCTGAACGGGGTGCCCCCCGGCCCGGGTGAGCCAGGGTCCCAGGGAGTTCTCTGCCCCGCGGTGGCTCTGGAGGGGGCGGGGCCTGGAGGGGGCGGGGCCTGGAGGGAGTTGGACCTGAAGGGGGCGGGAGCTGGAGGGGGCGGGGCCTGGAGGGAGTTGGACCTGGAGGGGGCGGGG